CATCTTCATACGTGTCACCATGAAAATCTCAAATCTCACCTCACAGTAAAGAAAATTACATTTATTACAAGGCTTTAAAATGTGTAACTTTCTGGAATCTTCAATCACATTAGAGTTTTTCATATTCATCATCTAAATTCCTGGCAATGTGAAACACACTGTTAAATGTCTGTGATAAATGTTGTTAAATACTATTCATTCCAAAATTCTTCAATTTGGAAAATGTCATTGGTATTCAGCAACATCAGTAGTATGTTCATCGCAAAATCCATAAATGTGCACTGCAGTGGCATAAACCATAAACACACACCATATCTGGCATTTTAAAACATGGAAGGCATAATGAATGTGGCACAGAACATCAACTGGATGCTGTGAGATACAAAGATCAATTGCATTGCTACTAAGATTTGATTAGTATCTGTTATTTCAGTTGAAGGTCACACATATGCATGCTTCAATTTCAAACATCCACAGTTTCATAAACATTATGAATCCGATGTATGTTCATATGAATTTCTGACTGGGAATGACTTCAGCTAAAGTTATGATATTTCAAAATGACTCACCCTGTATGTGTGTGTGCATGTGCATAAAGTAAAATACAATATCCAGTATTTGATGACTGTCCAAAAAACGTGTAATATAAAAAGAAAAAATAATAAAACACCTACCTTACTTGAAGTTACAGTCTGTCCAAAAAACATTTTTGGAACAAGCATTTATCAAAATCTATTCAAAACTTTCTGCAAAATGGTATTCCACGGAACATGAACCAAAATTAAGGTCTGCTGATTTTAGTATCAACTCTAAATACATGAGAGAAATGCTAGTGAATAATGAATTGGACAGGATGTGGAAGGAAGTGGTCATAGCCTAATTTAAAGTGTTACCCTGGCATTCACCAAGAGGGACTGACAAAAACAACAAATTTCAGATAGTTAGTTTCCAGGCGGGTCAATTGTTTTAACCCTTAATTCGGGGCGGTTAGTTTAGTTTCTTACACAAGGTTGGTTGCGTTTTACAAACTTGACCAACCCCCCCTAGGAGCTCCGAAAGGAGCGCCCTGCTCTAGTCTGATAAATTCCACTGGCAGATGTAGCATTCTTCTAACAAACCCAGAGTCTAAAAATTTGGAAAATCACTTTTTAAACTTAAGAATAATACGTATTAAAAAAAAAAGGCAACTCTTGCACCAACTTCAGATGCCAATTTACTGCTGGTTGGAATTTTCAAGCATTTCAGTCATTCGTGATAACACTGTCCATTTGTTACAACCTCAGTTATTGAACAACATTACAAAGGCGTAATTCATACTAGAATACAGTTTCCACATGCATTCTTACAAATTTTCGATTCTGAATAAGCCTAACCCAACCTTGCCTAAGCTGCGCTAACCTAACTTAACCCAACCTAATATACATAACTTAACCTAAATTTCTGCTAACTAATCCAACCTAACCAAGAAAGGTAACATGCCCTAACCAGAGGGCTGCATCCCATAAGGCATATCTGCCTCTCTTGAGGATCTGTCCCATAAAGGCCTTGCTGTTGCGGTCTTGGCCCCACCAAGGGGCTCCATCCCATTCAGCTGGCTTCAGCCACTTGGAGGTTTGCTCCCAGCAGTGGATCTGTTACACTAAGGTAATCTGTGGTGCAACACAACATGCCCCTCATCCACAGCATACATCTGCCATCTCTGTCGGAGGTTCTCCTCACTAAACGGGCTGCACCCATGAAATGGGCTTACTCCACAAAGGTGAATCTGCTATACCCAGGTCATCTCACAATGCACAACACTGGACCCCCACTGCCATCACTGCTGGGGGCTGTGGCCCATCCAGCACGTGAGTATGACTTTAAAGTAAATTCCAGTGGCTGAATGTCCATTCTAAATTTCATCCACATCTATCCAGTGGCTCAAGTTGAATGAAGCAGATGGACAGACAGACAAACATGGCATTATTTTTATGCACACTATGCAAATAATGCATAATAACCTTGTTCAGATCCTTTAGACTAGCACTTGTGAAATTAATTCAGCCATTTCCCACAAAATGTGTGTACAGTAGGTTAATTTGGATCAGGATAGGGACTAGTGACAGACTATTGTGAACACAGTAATAAACCTGTTTCTGCAAAGGCAGAGAATTTCTTGACTGTATGAGTGACTGTTAGCTTCTCAAGATCTCTACTCCATAGTTAGTTAAGGTAACAGGTTTATGGCAAATACTTTTTTGACAATTTTACACTTTAACTATTGTGAATCACAGACTAAGTTAGTTACATATTTGGTGCTGAAGATCAAGTACATAATATTTAAAAATTCAGTTCTTACCTCAAAGAAAATGCAACATGTCTCCATTACAAAGATCAATTGGTTAATTCTGTTTAAGGAAATAATCACTGTTTACTCTGAAAATCATATGAAATCACAAATATGCTCTTTGGGCAAAATGCAGAGTTACTACTTGTTTAAGGTGTTACATATAATTCTGACAGGGCCTTAAAAGGTTAAGGTAACAGGCTTGTAGTAAACAATTTTTGATAATTTTACACTTCTTTTAACTACTGTAAAATTATTTTTAACAATGCGGCAAGATTATGGGCAAGTGGCTGGTATACTTAATTGCACATTTTGATTCTTGAACTAGATAGGGATGGGAAATGAAAATAATTCAGTCAGCTCACACAGTATCTTAGAAAACAACTTTACTTTTACATGGCCAATTAACCAAACTTCCTCACTGATACAAGGTGTCAGTTCAGTTTTGCATAAGCAGCACTGTAACCAAAACAGTCTCAAGTAAAACATTACCATCCCACACAAGATCAATGCTCACTTAGTGTGTTAGTGGTCTTCAGTTATCACCAAAGGAAATATTTTTTTATAAGCCTAAAAAGGAAATCAAGCAACGATGATTCCAAGCGTCAAGTTACAAGTTAACAGCTCTTCAAACTAATTTTAAATAATTTAATAAAACTTCTTGTCTAATATAATTACTTTTTACAAATGAAAATATTAAAAAGATTCAACCTTTCAAAGTGAATTCATCTTCCGTATGAACACTACAAAAATTTCTTTGGCATAAAGCACTGTAGAAATAAAGTTCCATGATGTAGTGAAAGGAAGTCAGATGTCAGAAATCCACAAAATGGAAGAGTTGAGTTTTCATATTTTTCTTTTTGCCTTGCATACTAGTGGATAATACTGTATGACCTGTACTTTAAAAACCAGTGACTTCACAACTCTACTAGACGGGTTCAGAACTTACGGTCCTGGTGGAAGATATCCACCACTGTGCAGGTCAATGTCGAACTGTTGCAACACCAGGATGGCTGCTGTTTCTAGAATTGTAGCAATGGTACAGGTTGCAAGCAAATATGATGCAAATTTATGTGATCCATATCGCCTTTCAAATATCCTGCAATACAAAATGTATAAGAACTTCAACAACAAAAATGATGCTGCTGTAAGATTATGGAGATTAATTGTTCTTTCCCAAAATAATTACAAAATAGAGTCATGGAACATTAAACACAAGGTTATAGTAAACATTACCTGAAATAGTAAATTAAAAGTGCACCACAAACTAAATCCTTTGTATCCAGGAAAGTTATCCTGGATGTCAGAAGCCTCCACACCTGGAATTGAAAGACATAAGGATCACACACAAAAAATTCTTTCAGCTTCTGATAGACAAATACATTCCATGTACATGGGTGCTGTGATCTGAGTAAGGAAGTGGTGTGTTACAATTCAACCTTAAGATACTGAATTTCTCATACTCTTCTTTTCTACAAACATTTTTTTATCAGTTACTGCCATATCGCACATGTAAGACAACCCTGTGTTTGGGGTGCCATTTATATGATGGCTACACTTGCCTGTTTAAGATTTAGTTTGATTTACAACAGTGGCTTCTTAGAATGTGTGCACTTGGTTTATGTTGTATAGAGTGTTCAACAGCATGGTGTGTTGTTAACCTCTGCGCGCGGACCGACGTGAAAATTCGTGAGGCATAAATACCCCCTAGTGGATATCGGTACAGTGTACGTCGGCTGCAAGCTTAATTTTTGTAGCCCATAACTTTTTAACGAATAACGCCAGCGGAATGCGGTTTGCACTGCTTTGTTCTGAAAAGATAACTGTATGTGGACATATGGCAACACCGCCACATTCCATTGAGTTCTACCTGGGAATCTAAAAATAATATCCTGACCTTCTCATTCTCATCATGGATGTCTCTTCGTCTAGTCGCGTACTTACAGAAGCAGAAAGACGTGCACTTCTAGAAGAAGTTTTGGATGAAAGTGACCGAGTATAGTTCGGACACCGACAGTGCAATAATAGACATTAATTATACACAGTTGGTGACAACTGAAGATAGTGATAATGAGAGTGACAATGGTGGTGGCGGTGAAATACACGAAACCATCTTTTAAGAGGATTTCAGTGAAAAGTTTTTAATTATATCTCATATAGTTCCAAAATTATGATAAATATAGTATTTTAGAGCAAAATTTAAAGGGACACTAAGAACGTATTACCCCAAGCTCGGACTTTAAATCTCCGCGGCAAAGGGTTAATGCTCACTGCTACTATGCAATTGTTGATTGACTACATTGAAGACAACTGTGTGCTCTTTGTATTATACTAGGATTATTGTTGTACAATAATATTGCAATTTATCTTGAACCCCTATGGAATATATCCAACATCATGTGGTTAGCAAAATGTCTCTGTTGGGGGGGGGGGGATTAAGACTTTGCTTATTTAACTTGAATTAGTTATGCTTAAGATGGGTCTGTGGTAGCTGAATGTAATGTAAAGTAATGCAATGTAATGAAATGTAAGGTAAGGTAATGTAACAAAATGTTTCCTAGGTAACAACAATGCTGAGTAAACAGATGACGTTTCCTTGGTAACAATAATGCCGATTAAACAATTGACATTTCCTGGGTAACAACAATGCCGAGTAAACACGACGTTTCCTAGGTAACCAGGTTACACTTTTTCGTTTCCCTTTTTTGCTGAATGACCCTTCAATATAGATGTATTTACGTCAAAAATAAATATAAACCCTTACTACTGAGCTAGAACAGGGGTTGGCAACATTAAAATGTGGATTATATTGTGGAATTCTTTACTTTCCAGTCCAAATGATGGTATCTGCCAGAAACTTGAAGTACACAACATTAACATTTTAAAGTATATTTTTATACATTCTTAAAAGAAAATTTCTTTTTGGACCTCAGTCCACAAATACACTAATATTACTGATCACATAAATGTGTTCTTATATGTATTGGATTCTTTGTTGTGAGTAACTGTAAAATGCTTATGAATTGTGAGCTGAACTGTACAAGAAGGAACTCATGCCAGTCTAAGACAGTGGATGGTCTGGCAAAAACTTACTTCCCAATGCAAGGTAAGTGCTATAATGAGCTTGGTTTATATAACAGTTCTAGATTCAATAATAATGTAAACACCCATCATTTCAATATATCTCACCTCCCCTTCTTTGAAGATGTCAGGCAATTTACACACCAAGTACTTGCGCATGTGAGCCAACAGAGGCATATTCATGGCTGTGCATGTTAGGAACATGCTACCCATGAGTCCTTTTGACACAGGAGCTTTATCTGGAAGAAAACAAAATACAGACAGTTTTTGCAATGAGCACATTTGATGAGAATATAATAACCACATCATTTAGTTGTCATTCTTAAAACCCCACAAAAATTGCCTTCAGAGAACAGCCTATAGAATTCAAAGACAGGAATTAAATTCTCTTTCTGGTTATCTCTGAAACTTAGATAATTCAACTAAATACTCCTTAGAGGTCATGACCGTAATTAGTACTGCCATGATAATATACAACGTTTACTGTTGCATATACAACTGTATTCTATTGTGTACAAGATACATAAAAGACTTGCACAACGAACACAGTTCAATGTCTACAGTTATGGTCAACTTACAAAATCCTGTCGTGCTGTACTGAGACAGAATAGCAGCCATTATTATTGCAAAACGATTCTATCTCTACACGAACAATATGAATTCTGTTAAATAACACTCATTCTCGTTCAAACTTCAAAATTATGAACAATCCAGCTAAAATGACAATCATCCTCCGAACGAACGGAGCCATTTTGCTAACCACATGATGTTGAATATTTTCCATTGGGGTTCGAGATGAATTGCAACATTATTATACAATAATCCTTGTATGATACGAAGAGCGCACAGTTGTCTTTACTATAGTCAATCAACGATTGTGTAGAAGCAAAGAGCAATATCTGTAGAACGTACCCGAGGCAACCAACAATATCAATCTATGATCGCTGTCAGTAGATTATTTTAAAACTCAGCTGGTTGCTATAACGAAATTTTAAGCTGTGTTCATGATGCACTGTTTTAAAGATACTAGGTTTCAGTTCTTCAACAAACAGCAACATTGATTATTATATAATTACTCTCATATTTATAGCAACTAAATGGTTGACAGATCTTAACTGATTATATTTTAGTATCTTCTCTTGGCAGAGGGAGATTATAACCTAAAACTTTGAGTCGTCGAAATGATATGTTGCCTAGTCAGTAAAGCTAGTAACATGTTTAGACTAGTAGGTACTAGTTCATTGAAATGCGGAACAGAAACAACAGGATCAGGTGTACTGCACAAAATGATTGTTCGGGGTCTCCACACTACCCAGAGTAAGACGAGCCCCATGACTATGTTAACCCTGCCGGAATATAGCATTTTATTTATGTGTATTTATATATATATATTTCTTTTGCAGATTTAGCCCACGGAGAATATGAATGGAAGGATCCAGAAACAGAAGATGAAGTGTATGTCTATTATATTCTATAATTGCGAGTGCTTTAGTATACAATAAATGTGATTATGAAGGTGACTGTCCTCTGGGGTAATCTTAGAACTTAACGGACGTTTAAGTGCTGCTTGGCGCCTCCAACATGTTTATGGTTTGAGTTGTTTTTTTCATGTCTCTGAAATAATGATAAAAGAGAATGGCTACAGTGTTAAGAAGTGTAACTTGGGAGCAGTGCAACACTGAAATAATTTGCTACTTTTATTGTGAATCATTATATAGTGCAAATTTATCACAGTTTTGATCAAACCACTGACTCTGTAGATTATAAGGAGGGCATATGGGGTCTCCACACTCCTGACCTTTTGTAAGTAAAAATACTTGTCTGTCATATGTTTTTGCACTAGTCCATGTGTGTTCGCAACATTGCTGTACCCTTACTGTCTGATAAATATGGCCACCATTTAAACAGAAGTGTAGACATGAAAGATACAACACTGAATTGTCACTGATCAATGTAATGTTTCATTAGCTCCATATATTTCATGTGCCACACAGAATAGAACAGAATTATGTTACTTTCCATAGATCCTTCATAGGCCCAAGACAAGAACATAGACCATGCCATAGTACAAATACAATACTTGTTTATAATTTAATACAAATATAAATTGCATAGTTATGACAATCAACTACAGTATTACCACAAAAATAAAGGATACTCACTATTGCTTATTTGCATTTATAATAGCTGAGAATTTTTGGTTGAGGTAAATTCTGCTAGGGAATAGGAGTGAGATTCTCTTTTAGTGCTGCCTTAAACTTCTTTTATCATGAATCAAACTTTATAGTGGGGGGATAATTATTGAATAGCTTAATTTCAATGTAATAAACTCCTTTTTGATGTTTACTGTGTTTAGTGTTTGACATATGAAGGTTATATCTGTATCTTGTACTTATATTGTGGATATCTTTGTTTGACATTTTTTTATGTTACTCACTATAAATTATCATAATGAGAGCAGAAATTTACCGGCTAGTGGAAGAATATTGAATGTATTCAACAATTCCCTAGATGAGGCTCTTTCTGTAGTGCCTGGCATTATTCTAACAGTTTTCTTTTGGCTGTAAAATACTTTTTTGCTGTCTGCCAAGTTTCTCCATTAAATAATTCGGTATGACAATGATCGAATGGAAGTAAGAAAAGTAGACACATTTTAAAGTTTCTTTTTTTTTTCATTAGTGATGTGGCAGTCATAGCAAAGCTTGCTGAGCTTAGTTTAGGCATTCGTATTGAATATGTATCTTCTGATTTAGGCTCTTGTCAATTTGTAGGCCAAGAAATTTAGTTGCTTCTGCTTCTTCAATTGTTTTATCCTCATCCTCTGATTTGATTATGCATAACAATTGCTGTTATATCCTGATTTCCTTTTCAGGGTAAATATAACTTATATTGATAAAAATGGGAATAAAATACCTATTAGAGGCAAAGTTGGGGATAATGTCCTGTACCTTGCACATCGGTATGGAATTGAAATGGAAGGTATGTAATTATCAGAACAATGTTTTGAGTGATATAAAGGAGAAGTAATTTTACAAGAAAGCTTTCTATTAATGTACTAAATATTTTCGGGTATGAATTAAATGGTATTAACTTTCTATATCTCATTTGCTGCTGTCAGGAGCCTGTGAAGCATCATTGGCCTGTACCACTTGTCATGTATATGTTCTCGGAGATTTCTTGGAAAAGTTGCCTCCTCCAGAAGAGAAGGAAGATGATCTTTTGGACATGGCACCTTTTCTGAAGGAAAATTCAAGACTAGGTGAGCTAAGTGTATTTTAATTTTTTACCGGTAAATTGGTATACTTCAATCCTTTTTATCTGGTATTCACTTCTTGAATGGTATACTGAATACTGTCTGTCAGTAGAATTCAGTAAGTTCAGTAACTCTGCTGCACATTGAATGATCAATATAAATATAATAAAGGCATTTCTTTCTGACCAAGTGTAGCCTCATTGGCTTTTAAAAATGATTTGTGATAATTCCTGTGATTTTCTGAACAAGGGCATGAATGAATTTCAGAATATATGACTGTGTGATATTTAATTGTAGTTCCATCCAGTAGTTATGAACAGTATTTGAGGTAGGAGAAAGTGGAGAATGGCTGTTCAGATTTATAAATTGGCAATACAGTTGGTATCTTTAAAATTCTACACAAGCTACTTTCTATACATATTTTAAAGAGTGATTCTTTGGTGATAAATGCTTAATGGCACTGGTTAAGGTACAGAGATGATGTAATTGTGTCTGATCTATAAGGATATAACAAATTATGAATTACTGGTGAAGTAACAATACTACAAGAAATCTCAGTTCAGATAGTTGTTCCCAGCTGGTGTATGAACTAGGTACATCCTAAATTAAAGCCATAAACATGTTGTGGAGCTGAATCAATGTGGTACTTCATGTGGTGTTGTTAGACAACATACAACATTACTGCTATAATGATAATAGTATTTTTATTGTCTTGGACTGAAAATTTACCACAATTTTCTGTAAGGTTAATGGTTCAATTAATTTACCTGCATGTGTCTAGTACGGTGTTTTGTGCTACTGTGCATTACTAGGAGTTAGATTAATTCTTAGCCTTTTTTTTTAGGTTGTCAGATTATTTTGAAAAAGGAATATGAAGGAATGGAACTTCAACTCCCACAAGCAACTAGAAATTTTTATGTTGATGGCCACAAACCATCTCATTGAACAAGTGTAGTGTTGCAATATGATAGTTAAGTGGGCAGTGAGCCTGCATTTCTGTTTTATTGTTTATGCTGTGTGTGAAACACTTCCTAATAAATGGCTGAAGGAGTGGTTTAATATGGATGAAAAACAAATCTGATCTTTGTACAGTTGTGTTTATTGACTGTTGGTGTTATAGTAATGCCATTTCTGTTTCAATCTTTTTACAATAGAAGTGCAGTTGATATGTATTTAAAATAAAGTAAAAATGAAATGAATTAGCGTAAGATTTAAACAGTTACTTATTCTGGAGTTTACTGTAAATTGGAATCACTGTCTCACAGTAATTCTGGGAGTATGATACAGTGAGAAATATTTTTAGTATCAGCTATTGAGAGAGAAGACAGAAGATGTTAACGATTTCTGTAGAATATATATTAAATTAAATTAAATCCGTGGCATAACAGCTCCAGAGAGCCAAAGCAGACTAGCCTGACTGCTGGCCTCACGTTCACATGCCTAAGCAGAGGTGAACGATCATCCAACCAGATATAGGGTGACGTGTGGTCAGCACGACGAACCCCCAGCCACTGCTAGTTTTCCTGACCAGATTACGCTACTAATTGTAGCTCCCCAATTTCCTCACGATGCTGGGTTGGCACCGGTCCCATACACTGGTCGAAATCTCATGAGAAAATTTCTTCTCCCCCGAGACTCGAACCAGTGCGCATTCCGTATCACCGGTCCGAAGCATGATGCTTCAGACCGCACGGCTATGGCGCGGGACAGAATATATATATTTACTCTTTTGATATATTGTATATTCTTGACTTTAAATGTTATTATTCAGGAAACCATAAGAGTAGATTCTCATAATAGGGGTAGAAAGTTTATGGTGCTGGAGGTTCAGGAGAACTAAAGTTAAATGCCCCCCCCCCCCCACTTACTGTGTCAGTGTTTGGTTTGAGTTCAAAAAAAAATTATTTATACATGAAAGACTCCATTGTGCATGGATTTTTCACAGTACTTAGTATTGGCATTTCTTGGTGAGAGTTATTGACAAATTTTTAATTTGGTGAATAATGAAAAATTTGAGCCAACATTTTGCATGAAATTGGGCATTATTACTGTGACATAGGTCTTAAGTTATTTTTACATGTTTTAATGAACTTTGACTTTTTAATAAATCTGAACCTCTAAATTATTATTTCAGACGAGACTAACCCAGTAGGGCAATCATGTAATTTCAAGGCAAAAATTACTTTTATATACTGCTGAACATTTTATAAGTTCGTAAGATAATTAATAATGCTGTATTATCATTTTTGTTTATTTAGTCACATTATGTAAGTTGAATAGCTCATATAGCGCCAGATGGCAACTGTGAATTCAGAATGTGGTGTATGTGACTGTGCTGTAGTTTAATATAATATTCTAGCAGTAACCTGTACAGACTGATGATAACAGCAAGAAACATCATGATAATTGAAGCACTTAACGCCACAGAGGCTACACACACATGATAATGTAGCTTGGGCCACATTGGCACTGAATGTTTTAGTTGGTGTCTATGCCAGAATTCAGACACAGTTGAGCATTAAATGAGAGTTGGCAAGCATGATTAAGAGTGGTGAACTGAGAGAGGTAATGTTTCACTGTCTGACACATAAACATAAACAATTTGCTTCACCATCTAATAACACTGAATAAATTTATATCCTAAAAAAAGTATGTTTCTGCTTGTATTTAGATTTTCTATCCCTCTTCTGGCATCACGCAGTGCCAGAATGACATCCTGCAGAATTCTAGATCTGCCATGCTATTGTATATTCTATGTTTTAAACTAGCAACAAGTTGAACTGTGATGCCATCATGTTGAGATTGCTGTATATTTTGTACTATTTAGCTGTCATATTTTATAACAAATGTTGAAAAATAAAAGAATATGAATTACTAACCACCTTCAGAAGCTGATAGTCACTCAGCTGCTCAACAATGTTCTACCTTCTATGGAACCCAATAGTTCATTACTATTTCAACAAGAACTTGCCACTGAACCCTATCCTGAGCCACTTTAATCAAGTCCACACACTCCCACACCTTATTCTTTCAACATCCATTTTAATATCATCTTGTGAGACACAACATAATGATTCATTAAGCTGCCCCTTTCTTTCAGTATCAGAATGATAAAACTGTGCAGCATGAGGTGATGTTACAGGTCAGTTATAAAATGAAAAAACATTTTATGTATTATTTTATAAAATGTCATAAGTCCATATTTATATGTACAGTATGGCTGTATATGAACAATGACAATATATTTTTATATTGCAGTGTTCAATGGGTATTACACTAGTTTTCTTGTTCTACAATTAAAGGATACATTTGAATATTGGTATCTAATTCTGGGATTACAGCACTGCCCAATAATAAAGTAGCCAGAAATTTAAAGCAGGTTTAAACAATCTGCTATCTCAGTAGTTTATTTCTGCATTTCAAAATGATAAACAAAGCAGGACATACTCAAGGTGAGACTCATCATGTTGAAGGCACACTTCATATTGCTGTTATGGAACTGAAAGGTTCATTATCATGTTAAAGTAGTGTTATGTAGTATACTGTGCAGTAAATGTGTTTTCCCAAAGGTCCTATAGATTTTGTTGGTATTGTTTCAAAATAAAATCTCTAAGTTAGAAGGTGTGTGAGGTATGGACAGTGTAAAGGATGGGGGAATTATTTAGTGCCTGTGGAAGGTGCCTGTAGGAAATCCTGCCACAGTATGTCAAGGGTTGTCCTTGTTGTATGGGCTGTAGCATTATCTTGCTGAATAATCTAATCTAAGAGAAGATGCTTTTTTACCAACATGTGTATTGTATGTTATTTTTGAACTCAAAATTCACATGTTCCTCTAACTGACTTAAAAAACTGATGTCTCATTACAGTATTTTCTTACAGACAGAAAAACTTCTATACAAGTGTATTTTCTAACACATACATTGTGTTTATGGCTTCTTAAATCAACAGTAGGCACAGAAAAACTGATGAGTCTGACGTCAATGCTTGAACCCCCCCCCCCACACACACACACATACGCACGCGCTGTCATCTTTTGGGCTACTTTATCCCGAGCCATGCTGCAAATTTTATATGTACACATCTTATAGAAAATATGTAACATCCAAATACATAAACACACTACTTTAATGACCATAGCCCAGGTTCAGTCACAATCACTGATTGACAGAGCATAGATTAAAACACGAATCCTAATGTCATGGAAGGGGAACTTTGAACTTCAAAATGCGAAGCATCATCTTTGTTTGGTAAAGACAATACTGAAGAAGTAGAGGTTGAGAAACCAAATGTGCTGCTATTGTTCTCAAATGTGAACGAAAGAAACAAGAATATAATAAATGCAAAAATCTGCAAAAGAAATTATATTTTATGGCCTTCATTACCATTACAAACCTAAAGATAAGAAAACGCCTATTTGGGAACTGAACCTGGGTCACCTGTACCAAAGGCATACACGCTACCAACAGAGATACACAAAAGTGAAATGAAAGAATGATTCTACTAGATTTACAAAGTAACAGTGAACAAAATGTAAAATAAGATTTTATTTTACAGGGAAATGGTGGAATGTCTACACCCAATATTTTGGCCAAGGAGTCAGAAGAGGGTCTACAGCCATGTTTTTTTTTAACTTTCTCTCAGATGTAATATAGAGAGTGGTTGTGATTGTGGGGTGGGGGGGATATGAACATGGCTGGGCCCACCTTTGCATTTTTTTTTTGAAATGTTCATGGTTTACTGGATTTTATTGATATTTGGTACTACAGATGTTTACATATCTTACACCAACACCCTACAAACAGGAATCTAATAATTGTAAAACATAGACTACTTTACATAATGGATGGAATAAAATTTCAGTTTTCTCAGCAATAGCTGTAATGATTATATAAAAATAAGCATACAAACAAACTGTTAACACTATAAATGACACTAGTGCCGCATTTATAATGTTAACAGTTTGTATGCTTATTTTTATATTTCAATACACTACATGGTATGCAAAGTTTTAAATGTAATGATTCTGATTAAATTTCACAAATTTTTTACAGTTTAATACTAAATACTGATTATGCTGCATATTCCAAAAATTTCCCGGAACTTTTCTTTTGGTCAAAATGATATGAATATGAGAAATTTGTGCAATGTATTTTGCATTATTTATGAAAATGGCAGCTAAAAAGTTTTATTGCCATCTGTGGTATGGATCAAACTGCTAAGATTTATGTTCAGGATAGGAATAAGACCGTACCAAACTACTGATGCCACACTGTCACTCAGTACCCAGAACCATCATAATACAGGTGTCCACAAAATACTTATTTAGAGTTTATAAAAAACAATGCAATAAAACAAACAGGGGTATATTTATTAATAAAACTTATGCACTGGATTCTATATGAGCACCATGAGGATTGGCACAGCACAAATCTTTCAGCTGCATTGCAGAATGCATTTTATAGCATATTTGGAGTTATTTTTGTGATGTTCATCTGTGTATGACCTCATAAATAGTTATGAGATTTTATTGACACCTGTATGTGGGACTGCAATGTAAAATGTTTCTGCAACTATCACCCAGCAATAACTGTCCATTAATGAGGAGAAAGATCTGATCCGTCATACCCTTCAACCTCTCTTAGTTCAGGGAATGAGTTGCATTTGAATTCAGGGTTCATTTGCGTGCCCCGTCCACAGCTGTATGCCTGGGCAAACAGTTCAGAATTCTGTACCAAGTTGGTTACCCTGTAATATAAAGCAAACAAATTAAATCCATTAGCTATGTTTGTATGCTGCGCTTTGTTCTGACACTTTATTTTTGAGTTATAATCTTTGTTTGCAGAATTATAACCTCCTATGAACTTTCATTCTGTATCATAAGTTTCTCCACTCAAACCATCATTTTAATCTAATTAATAATAAGAGTACTGGTTTTTGTGTTAGAGTAAATCATATATGTTGCATGCTGACATTGGGCTAGTTATGCATTTCAAATTTACATACAAATTTGTTGGAGCAGATTTTGAATCATATATTCACATAACATTTTGCAGGATGCTACTGAGTGGCAGCAACTTGCCATCGTGGTTAGTAATAAACCATCATGTTTCTTGAATAAAATTTTTCTTGGATATTATCCATCGTCTATCTCCGGAGATAGGGATTAGCTCTTTCTAGTGGGCCCAACTGTGTAGGAACCTGAAGACGGAGATAGAGTCCCATCTCCGAAACGTCGTTTTACGTTTTATATTTACTAGACGATGGATAATATCCAAGAAAATTTTTATTCAATTGACTCTTCACCATCGTCAAGAAGTTTTAGATTTGACATCATGTTTCTTAACTAGACTGGAAAGGTGTAATCCATACCAGAACACAGTTTCCACATGTGTTATTTGCATTTTTTCATTCAAAAAACACATAAGAAAGTCAATTTTTGAACAGTAAAATATGTACTAACTGTTCAGGAAAACAGTATACATAGGAATGACCTCTTCTTACCTAAGGAATGGTGGCATTTGCTCACTCTCAAACATTTGGATGGTATAGTCCAACATACCTCCCTTGGTACATAACTCCTGTAATAAATCATTTCTTGCATCAGATTAAATCAATCTTTAGTGTCAAATGTGCCTTGTGCTACTAAGCTGCATCCAGAACTCACCTGTGCTACTAACATATGATACAGCTTGTCATGATTCATGTCTAACCATGGCAGAAGAGGCTCTGACCCAGCATTTCTTTTGAATGTCTTGTAAGATAATTGCAGCGCACTGCTGTCAGCAAAGCGTTCATTCATAGACTGGGATGGATCCACCTATAGAAGCAATATAATTCTTTACTTGTTTGTCTCAATCCTTACATGACCAAACTACAGACTATGCTAGAATTTCTGTGTTGTTTCATGAAAACTGAGCAACAGAAGAGACCAAAATAAGAAGCACAAAGTGTTAAAAATAACATATTATCCATGGCTGTCCAATAAGAAACATACATGCATTTAGATGACAAAAATAACTGACATGGAGTTTATAAGTTACAGAGTAAACTTCTCTGTTATTCATAATAGCTATATACTAGTGACACTTCTAACTTCTAATATTGTTCAGTCAGTATGCATAATTAACAACTAATAACTGACAGTCTTGTAAGTGATGTTCCTTGGTTGCATTGTGTATATTTTCTTTTACTACAATCACATAAATAAATACCTGGTAAGTAAAGATTTCATGTTTGTGGTTAGTCCATGACTTTTCAAATGAGTAAGCCATCTCATCACACTCCTTGATGGTATTATACTTGTACCTTGTCACATCAGACAGCAGGTTTGAATCCTTTCCATTTGTTCCATACTCAATCCCTGCAAGAACATCAGTCATTTCCAGTACTAAGTGCTTAATAAAAAACGTTAACAATAAAACTAATTGCTGCAGAATATATACTCATAATGAAAAGAGGTGAGAAAGCAAAGAATGAGGCCAAAATGAAAATGCCTGTGAATCATAGTCATTTATAAAAAGACAGAATATCTTTTTTCTTTGGTTACTTCTAGCAGCCTTTCAGGTAACAACATTCATCCATGCCTTATTTTATTGTGAGGAATGTTAGAAACAAATTATCTGAATATGGGTTAAAACCAAAGAGATAAAGAAAATGCTTGTCTGCAGAACTTTTTGCATTCTGGTAATGCATAGTGGTATATCACATGGGCACCTGCTTGTCATAAAGAACAAAAATAAATGGTGAGATTTCAGGTTCTCATCATGGTGAATATGAAGATTGACTGTCTTCTGGAATGTTGCACTATGTAGTGATGGAGGCAGTAAGTACCTCTGAAACGGCAAAGTTCTGTCAGACTACACACCTTAACATCCCAGAAGACAGTCATCTTCAACAAAAATAACTACTCACCAAAGTGTTTGTGAATAAAATATTTTAAATTAATAAATTATGCAGTAAAATTCAATCCATGCTAGTGGCTTTCATGTAAAAATTCAATATTGTCTTTCCTGACATTTTGAAACTTTTATTTATAAACATAAAATTTAAAAAGTATTGCCCCTTACCTGTCATCACATCAAAGTTTAAAAATTACTGACTATCTGACATGAGACTGCAGTGAAGAAAACAGGTGATATCAGTATTTAAACTGTACACTATATTGTTGGGAGGAATTAAGTCTGAGAAGTTAAGAAGGCAGAAATTGATACAAACAGGAAATATACTATTCATGGTGTAATGGAAAAACAGCACCAAGGCTTAGTATTATTGTTTGCTGGTTAATGGGGCTGTCATTATTACAATTCTGTCATCTAATTTAGCACAGGTTCTGTTTGTTTCACTATCTTTGTTCATCAAGAACTCTGGGTTTACATGTTCTGAAATTGCTTTCATCCTTTATCAAGTCAAACCTCTTATTGCATAAATAAATTTTAGTAGCACTGCAATTCATTGTCTTCAGGTTTGAATATAAAAACCAATCTTAGGTGTTTTCATGTTTCTTTAACATGCTGATTGCAGGTGCCTAACTATTTGTGGTGTTTAAGCATGATTTTGTTGGTATTTATGCTGAACTGTGGCTTAAATCAGAACATAAGTTTGATGGTTCTTGCACTTAATATTATATGGTTCTATCAACCTCAAGAAAAATAAAAATTTGCAATGAAAGGGTTAAGAGATCTTTTGTATACGACTTGAGATGTTCAGGTTGAAAGTACAAAAAGAGAATTTAACATTTAGCCAAAGTGTCATGGTTATATGAGAATGCATGTTGGATCTGACCAGCATTATAAGGAAATGTCTTTGACCCAAATCTCTTGATTATATAAGTATTTCTGATAAAATTCATTATTAGAATGGGGATATTTATTTTAAGAAAAACTAATTTGGATGTGAGATGCAGATATGTACTGGAAAAATAAATCCTTAATCAAGTTTTTTGTTTTTTCTCATTTCTGTTTCATTGTATCCCTGTGTACATACATACCTGTGATGTCAAAGTGGTGTGTTATCTGGCGGGCTAAGTCATTGCCAACCCGAGCTTTGAAAATGTAGTCTGGCAGATCAGGTATGGATTGTGGAGACCCAATCAGCCCAAATGGGATCACTACCACATATAACACAATCAGAGGAAAGAAACATGTTATGAAGACAACTGTATGTATTTAAGAATTTGCTTCCAAAGAAAGAAACTGCAAATAAATTAAATTTTCATTTTACTCACCAACAATGTTGAGTTGATATATAGCAAGAGCTTGGGTGTCATAGGGCAAGAGAAAGTATGACCAACTGAAAAATAAATTTCCTGTTTCATTTATTTTTGTCAAAATCAAGATGCAAGAAGTTTGTTACATAGCAATAACACTATTTTTCATTTTTAGAAACAAATGTTCAAGTACTTAAATGTAATAAAGTGGAGAGTAAGTAATACGTTTTAATTTTAGACAAAGAAATAAAGCTTCAAAATGTCAATAAAGACAATGATATTTCAATCTCCATTATTAATTTCAAACGTCTATATTTTTGTATTTTATGAGAAAAGGTGCTGGTACATTTGTGGACTACCAGATAGAAAGACCTGCATATCAGATTTTGAAAGTCAAAGTCACATAAATTAAATTAATGATGTCATAAATGTTCCACATTTAATATACAGAAGTGACTAATTAACCAACAAACTTATAGAGTAGAGTCCAGTTTGAGAAGCTTGGTAGTCACTCCATTAGTTGAAACATTCCCATGTTTTATGGAACCTGAAGGTTCTTTATTTTGTTCACAGGTGACTGTCATTGAACCCTGTCCTAGATCCAGATGAATCTAGTCCTCACCCTCATATCTTAAAATACATTTTAATACTATCATTCCCTCATAGCTTGTATGTCTTTTCCCTGTAGGTTTCCTGACTAAATTATATTTTATGAATTTCTCTTCTATCCATGCATGCTAAATGCCCTGCCCATCTTACTCTCCTTATTTTAATCATCATGGATCTGCAAAACTAGATTTGTGAGACATTACAGAATACTGTGCCTCATTTGAAACTCTGAAAATTCATAATGAGAACTATGAACTATACTTACATGGTGTTTGTAACATTTGGTTCAGTATTGTAGAGAGAATACATGCTGCGTCTATACCGTCGTACCAGCTGCACTGAATTCTGGAGGTAGCTACCAGAACTAATATTCACTTCTGACAGCTGTTCATTCAGCAGGTATGAATTATCCAGGAAAGCTACGTCTCCATCAGCAATTGGAATCAGCTGTTGTAGCTTACTGGTGAGATATGAGCGTGAAAAATCATCCAGCCACTCAGCTTCTTTGAACTGTTCCTGAAGTATGATCTTCAGCTGGGTGAATAGTGTCTGAAGCTCTAGCGTCATAGCATTTAGTTGCTCTCTGGTAAAGGTGGAAAGGTAGAGTGCAGATGACACATCTTCCAGCAGACCACTGGCCACCTTGAGGCAGTAGTCCTTGCGATTGCAGGGGCTCTGTGTTTCCACTAGATCCACATAGAGGTCATGTGCAAACATTGCAAGCAGTGCATTGTGCATGTTCATCCTGCAGAAGAAAATATATGAGTCAGAGAAGATATCACACCTTCCAGTAAACCTGTAGCCACTTTGAGGACAGTAATCCTCACAACTGTAGGGACTCTGAATCTCCATCAGATGATCCACTAACAGGACATGTGCAAACATTGCAAGTAGTAAATTGTGCATCTGCTGTTTCCTGAACACTCATGATTTCACTGATTTACTCCCACTGTTCTTGTAATTCTTATTCAGTTCACATACTTTATACTTCACTTAAATGAGAAATAGTCCACAAACAGATAAGAAATAACAGTAGTTTCACATTCAAACATCTTGACATATCCTATATCAATGTATTTTGATCTACAGGAAATAAAGTATTATTATTATTATTATATTGTCTGAAAATTCTTGACTAACACATAATTAAAATTTTATTTTCATAACAAAATCAATATTATAATTTATGTTATGAACCGGTTTTACTAAAATGCTTCTTGTTAAGCACCTGTTCTCTTTCTTATTATCTGACCCACATGTGTTATTAAAATAAACCACTTAAAATGTATAACGTAGTTTTAAAGAAATATGCCAAATAAACTGTTAACATTTAGCATTATTCTCTTAGAGGAATTATTAGTACAATCCAAGGAAATCTGTAAGTACTCTACCTGTTCTTGTTGTCTGTTTTGAATAGAATACTGAGTTTATCAAAGAGACTGTCAAAGTAGGTATTAAAGTATAGCTGGACAGTGGTGTGTAAATTGACACTGTCACCCACCAGTGCACTTAGAAGTGTCTTCCAGTCCACCTACAAACAAACATGTCACACAACATAAGAGGAAATATCTTTGGATCATTTCAGAATTGTGACTGTTAAAATAGGTCCATTAGATCTGTTTAATATAGTAAGGATACTTGATAGCTGTACTGGCAGCACTGTACAGCCTTTCTGTTAAAGGGATCTGTGCATCAGTTTCCACAATTCCTAGTCCCATCAGAACAGCCACCAAATAACCTCACTGTATAACCTTCTCATTTAAAATAGTAATTGAAACTCTTAGTACTTATTCTTCCTGTTGGTAAAGCAAATTAGTCTGACAGCTGGCCTTGATTGTGTGATACACAGATCTGTATGTCATGTGGTATGAAATCATACAGAAAATAAACACACAACAAGGAATTACTTAACATTGCAATCAAGGTAAAGACTCCTGCTTTATATTTGGGAAGTCCTGGGTTCAAATCTTGGTGCATACACTAGCTATCTTGACTAGGTTCTTTCCTGGTTTTCATTAATAATATCAGAAAAATGTGAAGATAGTATCTTAAATTAGGCCACAACCTCTTAATTCCATATCATTTTCAATTTGTTAGTCATTAATCATCCTATGTAGTCTGATATACTGACAGTGTCATTAAACAAACCATAAATAAATAATACAGAATCTAATACCCCTGACTTGTACTTGGGTGGTATTCAGCTCACAACTTCTGACAGGTTCATATTGTGGCCACCCTCAGTCCTCAGTAAATGACAATCCTGCACTTTGAAACAGGCTGAGCCACTTACTCTCCCAATCTTTCCACTTCACTGTGCATAACCATCCTTTCATCTTATTCAGTGCTAAATCACTTGTATCATTGATACCACTGATAGAGTGTTATTATAATAATATTTATTTCTCAGTTGCTGAGTGCAATTTACACTGCTACCGAATCTTTTACGTTCCTGTTTCTGTCAGACAATCGCCAAAGCAGTATCTAGAAAAGAAAAGAACAGGCCACAACCCCTATATGGAAATGTTAACCTGACAATTACCTGGGAAGTCAGGAAAACCATGAAAAATCCCAGTTAGGATGGCTAGCACCAGTTGAAATATGAATCACATACCTCTTGAATGTAAGGTAAATGTTCTACTAGGCTGTGTCTCTTTGGTAGAAATTATTACCACTTTTACTGGTAAATTTCACTAAAGAGTATACACTTTAGTGTCACATGAATTGTATGTCTGTTCATAAATGTGCAATAAAATCACTCAAAACATCCCAAGAAAATCTAATATTTCAAGAACATATCACAGTAAATATCTCAACAAAGCCTGAACTCAGTCCAACTTCAGATATTTTGTGTATCATCCAACCCATCTACACACATTAATCCATTTCCAAAAGGCCTTCTGTAATTCATATCAAAGGAAGAATAGTTTTAAAATTTATACTATATATCTCACCATGACACTATTTTGGTACCATACTTGATTTAGATTATTTAAAGAAGTGAAGTAATTATGTGATTTCATTTTAAAGCTTGCTTTGCTCTAGGCACTGTTGTTGCTCATACCACATACCAGAGGGTATTTTGCCTGAAGATCATCAACAGATAAGCTCATAAACTGCTTTGACAACAGAATGTGCCTCATTTCTCCTGAGGATGGCAGTTCCTGCAAAAATTAACACACAGGCTATTGTTAACTGTACAGAGCATAATATTTATAAGACCAATAATATCATACAAGAAGGAAGTCTATGATTATACTGGTCATCTACTATCGTTAGGACAGTGAAATCTAGGGAACTACAATAGGCTGCTCATGTGGCTGGAGTAAAGGCAACAAGAAATGCACTGCAAATTCTGGTGTGGAAATGTTCACTTGGGTAACCAAAAAAGGAGATGGCAGGGTAACATTAAACTGCATCTTAGGGAGATAGGTTTGTGAGGACTGAATGTAGATGGAGCTGGCTCAAGATTGAGTCCAGTGGTGGACTTTGGCATTACCAGTACTGAACATTTTGGTTTGGTTACCACAGTGTTAGTCTGTTCTCAGTGATCCAAAGGTGTGAAAGGAAGGATATATTTTATAGATTTTCACTTTTGTCATTTTCATCTTTCAATGGGAAATTCTGTTGCTACAAACAAGGCTCCAGTAAGCAAGCTGTAGCAGTATAAATATAAATCTAGTGCAGAGGAAATTAAGTAGCAAATTGTAACTTATTTTAGCACCAAATTATTAAGCAGGATAAATTTCCTTCATATACCTATTGTAGATTTTCCATGACTTTATACAACACAAAGGAGCTTCACATGACATCTACACCAGTAGAAAATAAAAATCTGAAAGCTACTACATGTTGTCAAATGTTTCACATACCTTCATTTTTTCACCAACTTTGAGGTATTATAATCCAAAGGTCCAATTTCACTAACATAAAAGCCTACCATTAGACCAACTGCAACCCAGCTCAATTCAGTTTTCATATCAAGAACCTAAAAAGACCCATTTTAATATTTTCCTCCCATATGCCCTTATTGTTCTTCCAAGTTGCTACTGTTTTTTATCTAACCATGCAAAAATTCTGTTTCTTGCTTCTCTTACCTAAGATATTTGCCCACCCATTACAACCTTTTTGATTTAATAGCCCTAAATATACTGTATTAGTGGAGGATAATAAAACATAAACATCTGAAACAATAACAAAATTGGTTTATATAGTTTTCCAATTGGTCAATGAAGACAGCTGTTAACACTAAGACAAGTCTTCAAATTGAAAGTTTAGGTTAACAACAGATGTAAACTGACATTCAAGGCGAAACTACAAAAAACAGAAATGATAACAAAACTTCTTAGAGTTCAGGTTCCATTCACGCTCAGGATGTGCTGTCTTGTCAATAGAGGCCTTGCTGTTGACTGATCCACCATGCAAGGAGTTTTAACAATCAACTAAAAATTCAATGATCAGTGTGAAACAGAAACCTTTACAGTGTTATCTTTAAAGGGACATGATGTATGACTAAGAAAATTGGGAAGAGAAAGAATAACACAGGCAGCAACTATATATCCCATATTCTTAGCAATAACAGTCTACACGAATAATATTTTAAGCAAATGTTACTTTTTAAACTTTGAGAATTTTAGTACCATATTAAGACCGTATATGGTCTTGCATCTTAACTGATTAAATATAAATTATATTTTTACTAACATCCAGTTTCACTTGTAGCTTTGTTTTTACTCATCCTGCATATAAGGTGGTCTACCTGAGGAAGTATAAGCTTTACATAAAATATAGTATGAGAATGTATTCCTTACTCTGAGGTGATGTAAAATCTCAAACTCAATGAAGAATCTAAGATCTTTTATGTACTGTGCCTCATGGAATGGTTCCAGATCCATGAACATGCCCAGTTCCTTGAGAGCCTTCTCTGTAACATTCATGTACTTCCCATAGTCTCTCTGCAACAGACATAGCATAACAGAAAATAAGACAGCCATTACATCTATGTTCAGTACAGCAATGCTACTGCAATAAAGAGGAGAAGGAGATTTTTTTTTTTTTTAGAATTTCTGCATAGTCATACCAGGAGAATTGTTTTTTTGTTTTTTTAGAATTTCTGCATAGTCATACAAACATATGCTTCTTTTACAATGTCCAGATATACAACGAAGTAATTAGTATTAATCTATAATAACAGCAGAGAGAGTCTCTGAAACTATGGAAAATCATTCCATACTAAGATGGCAGAGTTTTTCTTGAAAAGCTTAGTCACTGAGGGTGTCAAGAAATTCCCCGCCTCTTATGAAGCATGAAAGTTCAATTGCAATGTTCAGAATAGCTTGCCATTGGATTTTATCTTTAAAAATATTAATCCACTCCACATTTTCAAACCCTATATCTTGAAGACAATTTCATTGTAAGAGATTTTATAGCATACAAGTCAGAGAAGAAGGGCAACACAATATATCTTCTTTTCTGCATGCAATAGGAAAAGAAGATGTTAAAAACTGTTCGTGTGTCATGCAATTTTGTACTACCATTCTTTATGAAAAGGATATTTGATCATATCACTATTTTATGTGGCATTCCAACAGTATCATATTACTTTTTTCTTTTAACTGCACACTTGCAATTTGTACAATTAATGTGCATTCAAACATATTCATAATAGAATGCTCACATTTTATGTCCATATAATATGTAATGTAAAGTAATGTGGAGTAATGTAAAATTTCAATATATATCATGTATTTTAAAAAATTACTATCATACAGAGCAGATACATGGACATAGGAAAAATAAAACTACAAGCAGCTGAAATTAAATTCATGAGGACAGTAGTGAACAAAGCAAGGAGAGATAGAAATTGGAAAAACATACATTAGGGGAGAGCCCAAGGTGGAGGAAGTACAGAACTGAATCATGAGAAATAGAAATAGACAGTTTGGATATGTTAAAAAATGGCTGACCATAGAATACTAAAAATATTATTGAAAATGAAGATGAGTGGAAGAAAACTCAGGGACAGAATATGCACACAATGGATGTACCAAGTTAAAAGAGATGTAGAGAGGAGAGGATGAAACTTGAAGAGGGTAGGTGAAATGCAAGCATGGGCAGACAGAGACAGTTGGTGACTCCTATGCAATTTTTGACCCAGAATTGTGGAAACGACTTTAGGAAGGAGAAGAAGAAAATAATATACTCTGAGAAAACTGAAAAGTAAACCACAATATTTAAAGCAACTCTAAGAGACAAACAAAGTTCAAGGCACGTGAAAACAGAGAGAGAGAGAGAGAGAGAGAGAGAGAGAGTAGATCTAGGAGATACTAACAAATAGGGAAATGGAATTTGCATAACATGAGGCTTCATAGTTGACCATCAAATACTGTTAAAATGTAATTTCCATGGAGGATAAAAACAAGAAATAGAACATGTTGCTTTGAAAATGTTTGGGATCAACAAACTTTGCAAAACCAAGTAGGTAGGACAATAATATTCAAATGGATCTTAGAGAATATGATGTGAATTGAATTGGCTTAGGACAAGTCTAATGATAGGCATTTGTTCTGATACTGATGAATAATTGGATTCCATTATACCACAACATTAGATGTAATGTGGATACAGCGAAACATATTTTTTAAAATTTAAATAATTTTATAACTCATGAATGGCTGGACTGATAACATATCTTCACCACTGCATTTTATTATACTTCATCTACAAAGTGAACAGAAACTTACTGTGCATGCTAGATATTTGTTGCGGTAAACATCCTTGAGATTAACATTCCCTTTTTCCTGAGCAACAATCTGGGTCTTGCACTGGGCAACAAATGTAGACTCAGACTGAAACTTAGACTGGTGGGATGGTGCAGTCAACTTTAACAAGAACCTGGATGCATTGTGGACATCAACATCCAGCTGCACATCGAACAGTGGGGCACTGAAATAATAGGATTTATTACTTCTCCACTTACAAGACGGATGCGTTGCTGTAAGATGCAGCTTAAACGAAAACCTAATTTTTCATAAGAGAATTGAAATTCCATTCCAGTTTTAGAAATTCACATAAATTGTTAAAATAGTTTTATGTAATGTTACATTAACATTTTACAAGAGATTGCCTCCAGCACCATCAACAAACACCATGTCATTGTTTGCCATGTTGCCTGCTACTGATCATACAACCATATTAAAGTCAGAACTAAAACCACATAAATAAAGATGTAGTAAAATCTTCATCTGCTTTAAAATGAAAATGCATAATACAGGAGCTCATAAATAGAGATAAGATTAAATATAAAAATTATCACTGTGTGTTATTATACCTGTTCAGTTGAAAAAGCTTCACCAGAAGGCTGGTGAGGTTCAAATTTAGATTTCCTACTGCCCAGCCTGTATGACTGTACATCTTGCCAACACTGTCCAGCACCTTTCGAACTGCAACATGAAAATTAGGACAGCCAGTACTACCTGCTTAACTTCTTTGAGAATAACTTCTGAGGTTTGATTAATTCTTAGGTTATTTAACACTGTTATTTCAGCAGAAATTATCTAGCATCAAACTTGCTGGAAAGATAATTATGCATTTTAATTGATAAATATCTTGAAGTAGACACTTTGGTCTTATATCATGGTACTACCCACTTAAATTCTAAATTCATGCCTCCTGAATATACGTACAGAACATTACTGTTACACCAACGTGCTTGTTCAGTAAATTTATTTTAATAAAACTGTATATTGCTAGTTCTTATCATGACAGAGGTGTTTGTGATTTCCCTCAGGATTGCTACAGTACCTGAAAACAGGCCAGAATTTTCAAAATCTTATTTAATACCTCCTTCCCATCTCATTTAGTGCTCATTATCAAATAACCTAGGAATCAATTGTATACATTCACTGAGAACACCATTCACAGAGGGTCCTGGAAAGGCAGATATAACCTTACTAAAAACATTTTATGCTGTTCATTTTTTCCTGTAAAAAAACACAGTTAAGTGACATAAATCAGTGGATTAAACATGTTCAACTGTGTGGGAGTTGAAAGAAATCATTTTGAACTGTCAAAATAAAATGCTGCATTGATTGTAATTACAAGGCAGTTTACTTTCTATAATAACCATACTGAATTATTCATCTTTACTACTGACCTTCTTGTAAGCGAGATGTCTTATTCATGATGGAATCATACATCAAACATTGATCATAAAAATTGCTGAATTTTTGGAATGCTTCAGAGCTATGCACACCAATCCGTTTCACAGCACCTGTAACAACAGAGAACCTTAATTTCGTCTCTGATGCTGAATACTAATGTCAGAATGAAGTTCAATTACCACTGCTTTGCTGTGAGACTAAGACAAAATTATGTAATATGATGATAATCTGGAAGTATGAATTAATGAGGAGATAAAAATATAATTATTAATTTTGAATAACCAAGTATTTTCATATTTGAAATGAAAGAAAGCATAAAAATATGCCAGGCATTCAGAATGATAGGAAGTTGCTGATAGCCACACAATCACATTTTAGCACACTCCTCACTGAGATTACTGCACCATTGCCATTTTCTGGCATCTTCATGTTGGATGTAGGAAACCAGTATTTCAGGATAGTATACACTGATTTATGGACATAGCTGTGCAAGTCATCTGTGTTGCTTGGCAGCTGGTATGGGGCCTGGCATTTTCATACAGCACCAACACTTTTGTGTCCATTTATCTTTGTGCTATTGTTAGATTTTCTGAAGAAGTGTGAGCTACTGTGCAGTCACTGATTCCCTAACAACAACTTACAGAGTGTTGTGTACTATTCCAAAAGACCGGTTTACTGCATCCATCAGGAAGATGGCAATGGTAAACTGACCTCAGTGAGGAGTATGTGGAGTATGCTGAAGTGTTACTGAGAGGCTGTCATAATCTCTCAGCTTACATTCCATGTAATTGTAAAAGTGTTCAGAATTTTGCTTAAATTAGTTTCCATTCTGTTTTATCTGTCAGAGATTTATCAGTTTATTTCAAGACCAGTTAAGTACTGGGTCAGAGATAAATTTAAATAACAGGCATGTTGGTTTTATTTAGCCATCATATCAATTCTTATTAGATGGTAAATAAACTTCACAGTTGATACAACCACTGTCCAAGCTTTTGAGAACATGAATCAGTTGATATGTATCTATAAGAGATCTATTTAATTTAAAATTGATGGCTGTTAAATAATATCTGGTACTGTGCTATTCAAGACACATATGAGGATTAAATAATACCTGATACTGTGCTATTCAAGACACATATGAGGGTAATTCAGAAATTATTGGGACTCACATTGTAGTAGAGTATTCCAATCTTTCATTAATACATACTAGCAATCCTGATCCAGACCTCATGCTGAGGGTCATATTGAAGAAGATTTCTGTTGTCCCTCAGCCCACCACATGCATATTCATAGAAATCTTCACATGGATCTGCAGAGTGATTCATCATACTCAGCATTCGACTGGCCACAACCTTACACGTACTTGATGTGCAATGCGAAATTTTCTCTGTAAATAAATGAGAAAACAGACTATTACATCAATTATAAATAAATATGTGACTGATGAGATAAGAGGAAACAACACCAGATTTTATTTTGAAATTTCAATAATTGTAAATGATGGAAGAGATTTTGAAATTGAAACACTGGCCTGAATAGATGGTGGATCATATGCTCAGTCTCCTTTAACACAGACAATGATGAAAGATGCATCCATGAGGCTCATTCCTTACAAAGGAAGATATATGAACTTTAAAAACATTTCTTGAGATACATTTCTCAGTTAGTAGAACACTTGTAATATATTTATAATTTAATTAATATGGAACAACTGTAGCTAAATTATGGCACACATTTCTGAAGATCTATTAATTCAACAACTAACCTGGTTCAATAGTGGCATTTACAATGATCTTTTGGCTCTTATCTGATGGCATTGGAATGGATGTCTCACCAGATGGACTGTACTGCGTTGACATGACTGAAAGAGTAACACCAGCTGTTGCTGCTGTTGTATTAGCAATAACACTCTTTTCTCCAGTAACAGTTGCGTGAATTAGCACATTTCTTGTAGTTGAAAAACTACTAATGTTTTTAAGCTGTGAAATGGTGGTGGACTGTGATAATAAATTGTCAGTGATATCAGTAACAGGTGTGATAGAATTTGTAGTAGAATCAGCAGAAGCATTACTTGTTACAAATATAGAAACAGGTTGAAAATGAGAACCTGTACTATTGGAAGATGCTAGAAAATTGGTGAGAATTGTAGATTCTTTATCAATAGTGCCAGTAGTAACATCAGCAGGCGTTGTTGATCTGTCTATAATAGTGAGCTTAATAGTAGCATTGCTACTATGAGAGGTAACATTATCATTAGTTGCAGTAGAAGCTGACAGGTTATTGACTGTAGAACTACTTCCAGTAAATACTGTAGTTGATGTTGTTAAATCATTAACTGGAAGGTTTTTGGTCTCATCATCACTGCTGTCAGAACTTGATGTAAGATGTTTCAAAGTAGAAATCTTTGGATGTTTTGAAATATCATCTCTCTCAAGGAAAGTGGTAGATGTGGCTGATTCAGTAACTGGTATATTTGTACTCCAAGAAACTGAAGACTCAGTTACTTTCCTCAGGGTAGATCTTGTGACTGAGTCTGTTGTCTGTGTGGATAATTGCTGCTGTGTTGGTTGATTTTCTGGTTGAGGAATTTCTGTTGTGAATTTCGTTTCTGTACTCTCAGTAGAATGTACTGCATGTGTTGTTTTGTACTTCAGCAGAGGATCTACTGCGGTTGATGATTTCAGTTCTGATTCTAGTAGATGCTGTGTCTGGGGAAATTCTGTGATTGACATTGGAGTTTCTGTAGTTAAATGCCAATGAACAGGCAGTTCAGTAGTTAATTCTGATTGTTCAAATTTGTCTACATATGGTGTTGTATATTTCACTGGTTGTTTAGAAGTTAACACCATTTGGACTGATTTGTCATCAGGAGTTTCTTCTACTTGTAAAGACTTTTGTATAGTGGTTGTTAATGGCCGTTTTAATTTCAGAGAAGTAACTGGACTCGTTGATGTTGTAGTGTATTCTACCAATCGTACCAGAGGACTTTCCGTAGTTGTTATTGCAGCATACCTTTCTAAATGTGTCAAAGGCTTTTGTGAAGTGGCTGCTGATGATAAAAGGATTATCTGTTGTTTCAGAAAATTTTCTGTGGTAGCAGTACTAGCATAATTTTCTTGTCTTGTCAGAGGGTTTTTTACAGTGGTTGGTTTTGTTTGGCTTAATTTATTAGTATTGATGGTTTCTGTTGGTTCAAAGGCAACCAACCGAATCAAATGCCTTTCGGTCGTTGTTGATGTTGCTGTGGATTGTGTTCTCCTAATAGGATGATGCGTGCTAAGTGTTATGTTCTTATGTTCTTTAAGATGAGTCTTCATAGTTGTTTGTTGCTCAGGTTCAGTAACTGGGGGCTCTGTGTCCAGGTTTGGTGTATATCGTTTGTCACCATATTTCTGAAAGCATGTAAACAAAGCAATCATAAAAACATAACAAAAAATAGTTCAATGACATGAAAATTATAATGTGTTTATTTGAAGTTTTTGACTCAAAATTATCCCAAGAGCACATAATTGAGCTACGGACATTCTGTTGCAGGGCAACCTGCATACACATACACATCTTTATTACATTCCATGGATCCATAAGTTAGCCAGAAGGCAAAATATGTGAAGAAAGTCATAATAATACAATACATATATACAAGTTCAATCATACTATTATAAATATTTCACATAATATAAGAAAAGGGGTTCATATAAAGTTGTGATATGTTACAAATAAATCCACCTATTATATGCAGTAAATAAATTATACTACCCATTTATATTACATAGATAAGAACACATGAATATTATGACTTATTTGTAAACATTAGCAATTCATCAACAGATCAAAAAGAGTGTGTAATTAAGTATATTTTCAATGCTACTTTAAATCTTGCTTTTTTATTGATAAGACTTGTGAGACTAGATGGTATAATGTTGAAAATTTTGATGCCAGCTCATTATTAACTCATCTGAAAACATGAGAGGTTGGCATTTGGTTTATGAAACTCATTATTATTTCTTGTGTTGACACTGTGTATATTGGAACTAACATGAAAATGTTCTTGGATATTTACAATGACATTCATTAAAGAGAATATTCATTCACATGGAAGAGCTAATATCTCTAATCTCTTAAACAGACTTTATGAATTTCTATTTTTGACACTAGCCTTTAATATAACAAATTCATTTTTTAAAGTAAATATGTTCTTGCTATTATATGAATAACTCCCCCCCCCCAATTATCCATACTTCATTATGAAGTGAAAATAGGCAAAAAATACCGATATCAGTGTGTCAATATTGCTGACATGCAACGTAGATCTAACTATATAATATATTCCACTTAATATAGGTATCAGTTTATCAATATTTGTCCAATTTATGTGGTTATCAATTTTCAAATCTATAAATTTCATATTTACCGACTCTTTTATATACTTTTTATTAAAACTAATAGATATTAATAACATATAAAGTTGTAAATTTTTAACATGTTAAGTTATGTTAGTGATAATAAGATTTTCAGACAGATAGGGTAATGGTATCCGATGGTCAATAGTTTACCGGCACATGAATCAGAAAGACTGAGAACCACTGTTCTAAATAAGTAATTATTAATGGATAAAAAATATCCCCGACTTACACTGTGATGTGGATAAGTTTCCTTTTCATTGGTTGGCTTCCACGTTGTCCAAGCAATCACGAGAAGGATTATGCACAGGGCCAGGAAGATGAACATGGTTAGAACACATGTTCGATATGAGGTGTCCCGCTCTGCTTGCTTCAATGCTTCCACTTCTTGCACTGTGTAATCACCACGAGCCATTGTGGTAATTCACAAAATTAATGCTATTGAACATAAAATAAACTATTACAATTATGCTTATCTGTATCTATAAGTTGATCATTCAACTCTAATAATCAGTTCCTTTTATGTTCATCTAAGCTACATGTTCAATCTGTCTCAACCATTCATCTTCTGGTATAAATAGGGGAAAGACAAATACCGGATCCAACAGAGTAGATGCCCCCCCCCCCTTTATACCTGAAGACGAAGAATGATTGAAATTGTAACTGACGATGAAGTTAAATTTTTTTAAAAAACCCTCAATAGAGCAGTACCATCACAAAGGGCATTTAGAGAACTCAGTATTGATCGTTTATTCATTCATTATATAATTCAATCAACTAACAGCAGACATTTGCAGGTGAGTGAGCTCTGAGGTTCTCACGAAGGCGAGTACGAACATGACTGCCCTCTGGGTAGGTGCGTC